ATAGTTGGAAATTCTTGCACTTGCGTCGTCAATATTTGGATTTTTGGCCACGGAACTCAACGAAGGCCTGCCGCCCATTAAGGTAGTTGGCAAGCCAACGCTTGATATCACACGGAAGGGTGGAATTTGTGATATCGGAAATCAGCTCGGAATGATCGACCGTATCAAACGCCTTGGACAGATCTAGAGCTGCCACAATGGTCCGTTCAGGTGGTCGTCGCTGGTTGAGGCCATTCGCAATCTTGGAAGTAATTTCTTGCAAAGCCGTTGTTGTGCTATATGATTCCCTGAAACCGTGTTGGTGGGGAGCAAGAACGAAATGCTGTTTCAGGGACGGAAGCAATAGAGACTCTAAAACCTTGGCTACTGGTGACAGCAGAGAAATCGGGCGGTAGGATTCCCCATTAGTAGCGGATTTATCAGGTTTTAGGATTGGAATAATCCGGGCAACTTTCCAAATGTCAGGAATTACCAACTGTGACATCGATAACTCGAGGACTTTGGTCAGATAGCCCAGCCCTATTGCTCCAAGCTTCTTTAACATGAACATGGATATGCCGTCTGGACCAAGGGCTTTGGATGGTTTGGATTTGGAGATAATTGCCTCTACCTCGCTGGATGTAAATGATAGTGGCTGCAAGTCTCTTTTAAGATTCTTGGATCTCCGGATAACTGCTCGCTTGGTCCTGTTCTGCGAAGATGGATGCTCAATGAATTGGCGGCAGAACTGCATTGCACATTTTTTGGCATCGGAATGTTGAATGTTATCGAAGGAAATAGCAGGGAGATTTTTATTTCTTTTGGAACCAGATAGACTCTTAATTGTGGACCATAGCTGCTTGGAATTTATGTTGCAGTGGTTAAGGTGTTCTAACCATTTAGAGCGCCTGTGCTCAAGGACTAGAGCATCTATTTCAGCGCTAAGCTGCGGAATTCTGTCGTCAGCGGGGCTTTCGGCACGGAGTTGGTCGCGTTGCTGTGCCAATCTGGATGCCCTGGATGGATAATTTGGTCTCATTAGAGGAATTCTGCCCGCAGGAATAAAGCGTTTTGCCGCTTTTTGAATAATTTCTCGGAAAATCTTCTCACCCTTTCTGGCACATACGGGTGGCGGCATAGGACTTAAGGAGTCCTCAATGAATTTTGTGAAGCCGTGCCAGTTGGCTTTATTATAATTCATGAAAGTACGCTGATCGGGCTCTACGAAATCGCTGGGTTTCTCTACCGTGACCAGGATGGGAATATGGTCTGAATTTAAAGCGACCTTGGTTTGCCAGGAAGTATATGGAAGGAGCGATGGACTGACGATGGAAATGTCCGGAGAGCTCGAACACCTGGCAGTGACTCTGGTAGAGGATTCCTCATTGATGGAAGCGAAATCGGACTCGTCTATCTGGTTTGCAATAAGAATGCTGTTGACGGGCGGAATATATACATTGACAATTTCAATTTCAGCATCGTCGGAATGAACTGAAATGCTCAAAACCTCCAGGAAAGGATCAGACTGGGAAGGAGATGGAGGGGTAGTCAGAGTATATCTGACATCTCGCTGGATGATGAATGCGAGTCCCCCGCCATGGTCTCTATCTCTGTCTCGCCGAATGATATTGTAATTCCCGGAGGAGGATAAGGAACAACTACTGGTCAGCTTCGTCTCTTGCAAGGCAGCAATGAGGATGTTGTTTTCATGCATGAAGTTTGTGATCTCAATTACCTTATTCCTAAGACCATTACAATTAAATTGCATGATTAGGAATGAGGTATTTGGATCACACCCCTGCATGGACTGCTGCTGTGGAGGCAGGCGGGTGGAGTTATTCGGCGAACGGAAAACCTGCCTGTAACGCTGTTGTCTGGATGGGAAGTTTTGAGCATTCGTTGTTGGAATAGGATGACTAGAAGGAGTGCTAGTCGGAACACTAGAATGAATTCTACTTGATGAATGGCTAGACGGAGTGCTAGCCGTAGAATAGGAAGAGAAGCTAGTAGAATAACTAACTTCACTACCAGTATGAGCACTAGTGGTCGTACTACTGGATGGAGAACTAGACGGAGTGCTAGCCGTAGTACGCGAATCACTAGTAGAATAACTAGTGGAACTACCAGCGTTGGAACTGGTAGGAGTTCTGCTTAAAGGAAAACTAGCCGGGGAGCTAGCAGCAGAACTGGAGGAAGAGCTAACGGAATGACTAGCTCTACCACTAGTACTCACACTAGTAGCAGTACTACTGGATGGAAAACTAGACGGAGTGCTAGCCGTAGTACTGGAAGGACTCCACTGGATTCTAGCGGATATTGCTGGATTGTTAGTGCAGCAATCGGCTACAAAGCCTGGATTCCAATTCCTGTGTGAACGCAGGGTGGTACATCTTCTCATATGGCACCAGTTTCTGCAGCCATTGCACCTTACAGATGTCATATTTCTCCGTATTACTTCCCCGCAAACCGAACAGTACCACTTGGAGTTCTGGGCAGGTTGCTGAGAACGGATGGAATTTCTCGGGGCTGTTGGAGTTAAGGTGCTAGATGTCGAAGGCTGCAGGCAACAGCTGGCAATGAAGCTGTGTGACCAGTCGCGGTGTGAGGTGAGACCTGAGCACCTCCTCAGGTGACACCAGTTGTTGCAAACATTGCATCGCACAGAGGTGGAATTTGCAGCGATGCGTTGATGACACACTGAACAAAACCAGACATCAGGGCCTGGGTTTTGTTCAACGCCGGCACGGATTAAAAGAATGGCGAGCAAAGCTGCCGACATGAATTGCTCACCTGTGGAAAAAACTTTCGTTTTGTACAGCTGTCGCTGGGTTGACAATCCCTGGCCGAGTCGAACTCGGGTCGTTCCGGAGCGTAGATCCGATTGTCGTGGGAACGTCCAAAGGTTGTAGTTTGGATAGTTATCCCACTTAGTTATTCCATTACTACAGCTCACAGCACTCCGTCTAACTATTCATTCAATAGAATTCATTCTCGTGTTCAGACAATTGCGTAACAGGCAGGTTTTCAGCCGATTAATTCCATCTGCCTGCCTCCACAAGGTCCAAGCAGGGAATTTATCCATATACATCCTTCTTAGTCTTGAAATTTAATTGTAATCGTCTTAGAAATAAGGGAATTGAGGTCACAAACTTCATGCATGAAAACAACAACCTCATTGCTACTTTGCAAGAATCGAAGCTGACCAGCATTTGTTCCCTATCTTCTTCCGGAATTAATACATCATTCGGTGAGAAAGGTATACAGAACCAGCGGAATGACAGATATACCTTGGCTTCCTCTTTAAATACTTCCTACTGTGATTCTTTGATTCTGAAATTGAAATTGGCAATGTCTATATTCCGCCAGTCAACAGCATTGGGGCCAGTTATCATAATATCGTTCTTCGTGAGATATGGTTTTCCAAACGATCTATAGACGACTCCATTCCGCTTCCATCAACGAGGAATCCTCTGCCAGAGTTACTGCTAAGTGTTCGAGCTCTCCCGACATTACTATAGTCAGTCCATCGCTTTTTCCATACACTTCCTCGCTTTAAATTCGGATTATATTCCCATCCTGGTCACTGAGAAACCCAGCCCAGAAACCCAGCGATGTCGAGGAGCACGATTAGCGTACATTTATGAATTATAATAAAGCCAACTCCGACACGGCTTCACAAAATTTATTGAGGACTACCTAACTATTATGCCGCCACCCGTATGTGCCCGAAAGAGTGAGAATATATTCCTTGAAATTGTTCTTAAAGAGGCAAAACGCTTCATTTTCATAGTTTGCACAGCAACGCGACCAACTCCGTGCTGAAAGCGCTGCTGACGACAGAGTCCCCCAGATAAGAGCATAGTTCCTCTAAATGATTAGAACACCTTAACAACATCGCGGTATTTTTATTGCGAACCAGATAGACGAGTCTCATTCCCACAGATAAGCGCTGATATTGATACTTTAGTCCTTGAACATTAGGCGCTCTATATTGTTATAACACCTTAACCATTGCAATATAAATTCCAAGCTGCTATGGTCTTCTCTTCAATAACATTAAACATTCAGGTGGCAAAAATGTGCATTAAAGTTATCCGGAGTTAGGGGCAATTATCTCCAAATCCCAGACATCCAAAGCTCTTGGTGCAGACGGAATTTCCATGTTCTATTGTAAAGAAGCTTTGTGTAAATGGGCTGATTTATCTGACCAAAATCCTCAAATTATCGATGTCACAGTTGGTAATTCCAGATATTTGGAAAGATTATTCAAATTCTAACATCAGATAAATCCGTTACTAATGGGGAATCATTTTTCGTTCTTCTGGTATCAAATAATAACGGCGAAGAAATATCCCAGAGTCATTGTGTACCACTTAGCCATGATGAGGTAATCGGCTGAAGAATAATAAAGCTGCACGTGCGGATGGATAATCCGATAAATCCGCTACTAATGGGGAATCCTCTTTCGTTCTTCTGGTATCAAATAATAACGGTGAAGAAGAAGATACCCCAGAGTCAATAAGAGATGACGGTATAGATTGTGTACCACCTAGCCAAGATGAGGTCAGAATAACAATTAATCGGCTGAAGAATAATAAAGCTGCAGGTGCCGATGGATAACCAGCCGAACTATTCAAGGCCGGAGTTAGACGCTGATGAGAAGCATAACCAACTGATTAGTACAATTTGGCTAGAGAAATACATGTCCAATGATTAAAACCTCAGTATCCTGTGTCCCGTGGACAATAAAAGGAGACAAGACGATATGTGCAACTATAGAGGAATAAGTCTCCTTCTTATCGCATATAAAGTGCTTTCCAGTGTGCTGTGTGAACGACTGAATCCAATGGTAAATGACATTATTGTATCATACCAATGCGGCTTCTAATCTGGCAAATCCACCATAGACCATATTTTCCCACTGCGCCAAATCCTGGAAAAGACCCATTAAAAATACATCGACATTTTCACTTATTCGTTGACAACAAAACCGCATTCGACGGCCCAATCTTGCAAAATTTATGCAGGATAACCTTAAGATCCCTTCAATACCTAACGAGGATTCAGACAAGGCGACAGCTTGTCGTGCGGTAACACCTTTGAACAATCCCTGTGTTTGTCAGTCTTGCAAAATTTATTCAGGATAACCTTAAGATCCCTTCAATACCTAACGAGGATTCAGACAAGGCGACAGCTTGTCGTACGGTAACACCTTTGAACATATTGAAAAGGAGTCTGGAAAGTGGGTCTGACAATAAATAGCGAAAATACCAAACGGATGGTATCAACCCGCAAGACGTCAGTTAGACCCGGACCATCTGTGGAACTTGAAAACAGATTTAATTGGCACAAGGCCTGCAGTTAAAGTCGGAGAGGACCTTAGATCCCTTCAATACCGAACGAGAATTCAGACAAGGTGACAGTTTGTCGTGCGGTATCAGTCACCACAGAACGAATTGAGAAGGAGTCAAAGTGGCAGTAAAAAGCGAGAAGACCAAGCTGATGATATCAACGCACAATACGTCCGGTAGACTCGGACCAACTGAAAACTACATCTTCGAGGTAGTGAACGATTTTATATACCTCGGTACCGCCATAAACTAAACTAATAGTATCAGCTTCGTATGGATCTGAAGCATAGGTACTTGCGCTAACTGATGAGGCAGCTCTTGGAATGGTCCGATCTGCGTCAACGGTGAATATTGCCGTCGAATAAACCATGAGCAGTACCATCTATTCTCGGACATCGACATAGTCAGACGTATCGAGCTGCAGCGACTACGTTGGCTAGGTCATGTTTTGATAATGGATCCCCCGTTTGAGACAAAACTTTGCACAGTTTTGCATGCGTAATTTTGTTGAAATCGGTTCAGATTTGGATAAAGCTCCCATACACGATTTTATGTAAATAGTGCACCATACTGCTAATATTTGTCCGATTGAGACAAAATTTCGCATAGGTGGTAAAGGTTATCATATATCGGTCCGTTCGAATTTTTCTTACTGCTTTAAGCTCGGCTTATGGAACAAACGATCTGTCACAAGCCAGCTAAGTAAGTATGGAATGGCGAATCATACTGACCGATTACAGTTCTTTCTTTGGATTCTCCTTTGGTATCAAATCTTGAAACATAGAAAATGAAGGAGAAAATTTTGAGGATTATGGAATTTTTTAAATTGTCGGCATAGGTCCACGTTTATTTTATATCTCCTATATAACGATTATTACGTCAGACGCTTTAGCCACACTTTCCAACATTATTTGCTGTATCATAGAACTCTGAAGGTTTGATCAGACCTCCTTTTTCACCTAAACCTATAGCGATCAATTTTACAAATCGAAGAGAGCCATGAGTTTGTTTGATCCCGTTACGAATAGTTATGGGTATTTTAAAATATGTGAAATATTTTGCTAGGTTTGGCATCTGCTGGTCGATTTCACAATATCAGTAAATCAAAAATTTTAAAAATAGTTGAATTTAAACCTTTTTTATTGAATAGTCAAATATTTAAAAATATATCGCATACACCTTCAAACTTACATCCATTCATTTCACAAACAAAAACAAATTACCCATTAAAGACTCACATCCATACATATTGCTAATAATAAATCTTTGCTGATTATATTCATTTTGTTGTAACCGATTCAAATCAAATCATGTTTTTTTTACATCATCTACCTTTTGCTACGTTCTTTTTGTAGTTATTGAATATTGATGGTAATGATTCAGCCAATAATATGTTGGTTAATGCTTTGGAAAAATCCGCTAATCAGAGCAAATATTTAAACTTCCCATTGCCAATGGACAGAATTTGTGAGTATACAAAAATATTTAGTGTAATTTTTTTATTTAAAGGGAAATAAAATATATATTCGCAAAATAATTTTTAATAAAAATAATTTTTGAAAAAATATGGTTGTGGATAAATTGCAAAAAAAAGAAAACAAAAGTATGCATACAAAATAAATCAAAGTAAATGTTTTTTTTTTTTTTTTGATTTTGTTGTAGATTAATAATAAATATATTACAAGACGGATTAATTAACATCATTTCTATTTTTTAACAGCTGCCTGTTCCATTGATGAGCAACGTGACAATTCATTGTCGGCTAGTTTGGCCAATAGCAGTTTCATTACCAGATCTTCGGCTCCCATTAACATTCCAAATTCGGCACTTAGTAATTCCATAAATGGTCAGTACAGCAAAAAAATTAATACATTAAATCAATTTAAAATATAAATCATTTCATTTCAGATTTCAATTCGAGCGGTTTTGCTGTTAATCTTCCCTACAGTCCCACCACTCACAACACCAACAATTTCTTCAGTGTCCAGGATGCTTTTAATTATGGCGGCGGTTCGAGTACAAATAAACTAAGCAATTCCTTAAGTGCTGCCAATCAAAATGATTGCAGCAATAATTTATATTTTCCCACAAATATTATATCGCCGGGCTTTAATGATGGCCTTTCCATAAGTCCGTCATTTCGATTATCGGAATTGAGTACAATGCCGGATGATTTGAATAGTGGATCGTTAGGCAATAGTCTGACCACCAATAAAAATGCATTTTCATTGCAATCCTTGCCAACGCAAAATAATGGTGATGTCGGACGTATGACATTGGAGTTGATGGCAACCAAAACGCAAGCATTGAAATTATCCAATCGTGTTGAAGAGTTGCAGCATAAGGTAAGATGATTGATAAAATGGTGGTTTGGTAAAATTAATATTAAAGTTCTTTCTTGTATTTCCTACAGTTGAATGTTGCCAAACAGGAGGCGCTAAAATGGAAAGACAGCTATGATGCCACACAAATACAATTGAAATTTTTGAATTCGGAGGATAAAGAATTGAGAAATTTGTCAATACAAAAATTAAAGCAATTACAGGTGAGTTTTGTGATATACATTTTTAGAGTAAACTAATTTTTAAAGACATATACGATTAAGAAAATATTGAAGGGTACAAATTTAATTTACCACCCTGTCCAGTACATACCTATCTCGCTTGAACTAAACTCTAGTTATTCATGCATTGATTGTAGTGATAGAGTTGCTTGATTAATGCATACCGAGGATGAATACTTGTACATCGTGATGTTTACCGTCTGATACTAGGGAATTAAAATCCCCATCATAAGAGGATATTGTTACAGCTGGTCACATATCACCATAGTGGCACCATGTCTGATACACGTAAGCTGGCAGCCCATAATTTCTCTTAGATCATACTGGGAAAACTGAGTTTCAAATAGCATACTGGGAAAACTGCGACTTAGATCATTACTACATCTGAAGCTTGCTATATCTGTCAAATAGCTTGTGATGACCCAATATTGAGAGACTTTACTCTTGAAGCTAAGTGTAGTTGTTTAGTAGATCAACATGAGTATGGATTTTTCAATTCAATTTATTTAATATACGAGAATCTAGCCCAAAGGCCCAAGAGCGATTCAAATGAATGACTATCAATATGAGTATGGATTTCGTAAAATACATACTACATTACCAGATTACCAGGCTCGTCGGGCTTGCGATCAACTCTTCGAAATTGAAAGACCATGTTCCGAAATGTTCTATTCCACTTGATCTTTTCGATTAATTCGTGGCTTCCCCTCTTCTGTGCGAGGCATTAGTTTGCTCGCTTTTATATGTCTTTTGTGCTGGGGTATCCTTATAGCAGCTACAGCTCGATACGTCTGACAATGCCGATGTCCGAGAATAGATGGTACAATTCATGGTTCATTCGACGGCGATATTCACCATCGACGCAGATCGGCCCATAGATCTTCCGGAGAATTTTTCTCTCAACACTCCACGAGCTGCTTCATCAGCTTGCGCAAGTACCCATGCTTCAGATCTATATAACAGCACGGGTAGTATCAGGGTCTTGTAGAGTGTGAGTTTGGTCTTGTTTCTGAATTGCTTAGTTAGACCATTGTAGCATCGCTTGGCCATCACTATCCTTCTCCGAATTTCAAAACTGATGTCATTCGTTTCATTTATGACGGTACTAAGGTATATAAAATCTTTGACTACCTCGAAGCTTTTGTTCTCAAGTTCCACAGTTTCTACTGGACGTCATGCGCGTTGATACCATCAGATTGATCTTCTCACCATTTACTGCCAGAACCACTTTGGCAGACTCCGTCTCAATTCGTTCAAAGGTGGCTGTTACCGCTCGCAATGTTCGACCCATTATGTCGATGTCGTCGGCGTAGACGAGTAACATCTGCTGTTTGGTGTACAGAGTACCATTTCTGTTAACCTTTGCGTCTCTTATGACCTTTTCCTACTGGATGTTAAAAAGATCACACGACAAGCTGTCACCTTGTTCACACAGCACACTGGATACACTTTATATGCGATGGGAAGGAGTCTAATTCCTCTATAGTTGGCACATTTCGTCTTGTCTCATTTTTGTGCACGGGGCACAGCATTCCTCTAGCCAAATTGTACAAATGAGCTTGTGCATGCTCCTTACCAGCATCTGACCACCAGTTTCGAATAGTTGGGTTTGTAGCCCATCGGCACCTGATGCTTTATTATTCATCAGCAGATTGATTTCTATTCTGACCTCATCTTAGCTAGGTGGTATACACTCTATACCGTCATCTCTTATTGGTTGGGTATCTTCTTCACCGCGAGTATTTGATACCAGAAGCTTTTCAAAATGCTCATTCCAGATCCTCAACACGCCAGATCCTCGCCAGGTTTCCATCTTCATCTCTACAGGAGGATGTGCCTGCACCAAAGCCTCCGCTTTGGTGTTTTACTCGTTGATAAAATTTTCGGACTTCATTCTGACTCCTGTACATTTCGATTTACTTACGCTCACGTTTTTCTTGTTCTTTCTTCTTTTTCTGGAAATACGTTTCTCCTCTCTCCTTTTCTCCCGATATTCGCTCCTCGTATCGATCGAACGTCTAAAACACTGGACGAATGCCTTCCGTCTATCACAACATGATCGATTTGATTTGTCGTTGTTCGATCTGAAGAAATCCAGATTCGCAGATCGTGGTCCTTTATACGTTTGCGGGGGTCGTTTGGTTTTCTTTTTCGTTGTTTTTTCATAGTAAGAGGGGGTTTCCGAGTGTGGGAAACTAACCCGACGTCTCAACCCATTTTTTTATAGTTCTTAGGGGTGAACTCGCGGCACATATTAGCTCACTATTTCAACTATTCAGTGACACCGCGGGGAGTTTAGTGTCCACAATTGATATGAAAGAGGGACCAAGATAAGTCTGGGCTTCGCCATGTTAAAGCCAATCGGAGCCGTTGTTTGCTATCTATCTTCCCCTACGCCACCCTGAAGAGATCATGGTGATAGAAAAATTAGAAGTTTCGCAAGATAAATTCTGAACAAAATTAGAAATAGGACATCGGTTTTCGGGAATTCGCAAACTTAGAAAATATTTCTTGAAAGTCGGTTTAGAGCTATGCTTTCTGAAATCAGTGTGGTGGCCGGGTTTTAAGAATAATGACGAGAAATTTAGCAAACTTTTTTACAACTTGCAATTATCGAATCGGATTTTTTTTGAACTGGTGGATATGTTTCTTAAATTTTTTTTCTACATGTTGGGCGATTGCGGACGGACTCTATGTCCAGACTATGCTGGCGACCAATCCGATTCTTATTATTACTATTACAACCTTATTTTAATGTTATGATTTCTTGTATGAAATAACTTTACCATTACTTTCCATTTGCTCTCCTTTCCAGTCAAAATTACGCACCGATCTAGAGGAAGTCGAAAAGGTTTTGTATTTAGAAAATGCCCGAAAGTGTATGAAATGTGAAGAAAATAATCGTACCGTTACATTGGAGCCATGTAATCATTTTATATTATGTGACAATTGTGCCACTTCGGTGACTGAATGTCCGTATTGCCAAGTACCAGTAGTAACCACACATACCTAAATATAAAAAAATAGAAGTGTGTGAAAAAATAATACAAAAAAATAAATTAGCGGTGATAAAATAGTTAGACGATCATGAATAGAAATGAAATATACCGCTTTATATAATGAAAAACAACAAAAACAAAAGTAAACAAAAAGAAAACTGCGGCTGGTTACCGACAAACAACAACAACATTAATTAGGTACTCAAATTAAAATATTACAAAAAATGAAAAACAAAAACAACTAATGAAACAAATTAATAACAAATTATTTTTTTATTTCGAATTTTATTTTTTACAAAACAAAAAATGAAATGTTAGAACACAAGAAACTCGTATTAAATTTATATATATATATATATATAAAACAAAAAAAAAATTGAATAATATATATTTGCTATATAGATATCTAACTTGTAGGAATTCTATTTTTTTACTAAATGTTTTTCCTTTTTATTTCTTTATTGTTTGTAATAAACATAAAATTGTTTACTTTTTTAAAAATATATTAACACAGTGATACATAGAAAACAAACAAGAATATATAAAAAATAAATACTTTTGTATTTTAGTTATTTAACAAATTTATACAGAAAGAAGAACATCACATGATTACCAAAATAACAACAAAAAAAAGAAAAATAATTTCTTAAAAACCACAACAACAACAACTTATTTTTTTAATATTAATATTAAAAAATTATATTATTTTCATATTGTATTTATAGTTAGTTACATCCTTTTCCCAAAACGATTTTGGAATTGGATGTATAATCAATTAATTTTTGAATATATTGTGGGTCACAGAGTTTTTTTTTTCAATTCGATGGATTTGAACTTGGACTAGAGGGAGAAAGAGATGAAGAACTTTTGTTAGATTACAAAATGTATGATTGAATTTATTGGAATTTTCAAAACCTTGTCATAATCTGATTTAACCTGTGTTAAAAACCTAATATACCATTTTGTGAATAACCATAGGGCTTTCAAAATTTTAAAACCATGTTATAATCTCCCTTACACTGTGTTAAAGAAATTAATATTTCATTCTGAGAATAGTCTTAGGGTTATTTTGAAACGATTTGCGTCTGAAAGTGCGTCTGAAACTTGGAATCCTTTTCAAACAACATTGAGTATAATTCAGCAATTGAGATTAGTCCAAAATGACGTTCGGGAAATTTGATTAAAATCAGTTGGGATTTAGATGTAGGTTCGATATATAATTTCGTCTGATTTTGATTTTGAAAATGATGCATCGAATATATTTCATTTGTCCGATCATCATGGACCTAATAACTTTGTAACAATTTAATGTAAATGTTGCACCCTAGGTCTTTAGTCTGGCTGATTGGGCTGTAGGTTCGATATATAATTTCATCTGATTTTGAAAATGATGCATCGAATATATTTCATTTGTCCGATCATGATGGAACTATTAACTTTGTAACGATTTAATGTAAATGTTGCAACGTAGGTCTTTACTCTGGCTGATTAAAGAAACTCTGTGACCCCCTTTATATTCGTGACTTAGACACACACACAATAGAAATATACATATATATGTATTTGATGGGAAAACTTGTGTTTTTCTTTTATTATTCTTATTTTTTATACATAAATATATATATATATATATATATATAACTATTATTTTTCTAATTGTATTTTTGTATGTATATTTAAGTTCCTTTCTCTAAACGAGACAATTAATTAATAATAATAATTATAAAAATAAAAAATTATATAAATAACAACAGCAAAATATTGAAAACAACAACACCTAATACAAAACAAAATTTGTAAAGAAAAAGGTAATACCGAAAAATAAGAACAATAATACAACAAATAACTAATGCTTTTTATTATTAATTAAATAATTAATTAAAAACAAAAAACAAAATGAGTGTATATGTACTAATTATTAGCAAACAAAGCAAATTGAAATTCTAAACAAAGAAAAAACGTAAACTATGAAACTAAAACCACCATATATGAACAAAGAAAATACAGTGACAACATTGATTGTAAGCAAACAACAACAAAATATCTACAACACTATTATATATAAACTATGTTTTAGGTGAATCCTCCTCCAAGTATCAACACAAAGTAAATAGGTTTTTTGCAAAGAGATTTTAAATATTGTAATATGACCGGTGGGCTGCTGCTCTTGTAACAAACCACCCACTCCACATTTGACTGATCATTTAACTAAAAGACACCGATGAAAAAGTAGTAGTTTCGATTTTTTCTATTTAATCTATTTTTTCATATTAATAAATATTGAAATTTATATATGTAATAATATAAAAAATACATAGCATGTTTTTTTACTATCACTAGTTTTTTTTAAATGAATTGATATGATAAATGTAAGAGAATTGATAATTGAGAGATGGATTGATAATTTGTCACTAAAACAATGGTTTCTTAAATTGATATTCATTGTTATATAGGACCACATTGGCTTAATATTTTAAAGGTAGCTATTCACATCCAAACTAATTTAAATACGTTTAATACATTTGTAAAAAGATCTTCAATTCATGTAACATTTTTTTCCACCAGTGATTTATATTATGGCAATATTTTAAAGTCATTCGAATTCAACACATGACAGCTGTTATGTACTAGTAATACAAAATATTCGTGAAAGGGGTTTTATGTTTTACTTACTTCTATACAACTTTTACATCCCTTTCTGTCGTTCCATCCTGTCAAAATCTCAATTTCTAGAAAAAAGGACTAGTTACCTTTACAAGTATAGCCAGTGATATAATTATGTGTATCGTGATATATCAAGCTCAGTCCACATTCATATACATAGAAGCCATATATAATATAGTTCGATTTAAAATAAATGATTTGTTTTACACAAGAGAACGAATAGAATGACATGTCTAATGCCATGTACAGACGGGCGTTGTTCGCTCTCTCATTCGTTGTTCGACCCTAAATTATGAAGTAATTACTTAGTCCCCCATACAAAATTGTCTGAGCGAACACCGACTTTTGTATGTTGTTCAATTCGAATCACTCTCTGAATCACCAAGAATTTTGTCCCATCTCTAACAATTGAGAGAATTTATCGAAAATAAATTAATTTTGACAGCATGAAAAAATTTTTAAAATTTTCAGACTTTTTCAGTAAAATTGAAAATGATGAATGAAAAGTAACCACAATTCTAGTTTTTATATATGCAGAAGGATGTAAATTTTGTTGTCTACATAATGCAATGTGCATTTCTTTCCCCTTGGTTCTAATTAGCGTACAAGACGAGAAACAAAAGTGGGGAATCAAAAATATTTTCAGAAAAAATGGAAAACATGAATTAAAAGTAAAGAGATAGGGGTTGATATTATAGTCAGGAGAAAGAGAATTATTTTTTCTATTTAGATTCAAATGTGATTCACGCAAATATGTTACAATTTTGGTGTGAAACAAGAAACAAAAAGTTTGAAATAAAAAAAACTCTGATGACATGAATTAAGAATAGTGTTGTATGACCGCGTTAATTCATATACGTAATTCTGAGAGCGAGCTACGTTGTTTGAATGCCCGTCAGAACATGGCATAAGTTTGGTTACTTGAAATCTACCGAACTACTTTCGGATTTGTTACTGAAAAATATTGCCTAGTTTTCCGACACTTTCACTTAAGTTCACTTAAGAAATGATTTCAGAAACCAAACAGGTTTCGCTTTAGCTCGCTCCCATATTAGGGAAAACAGCAACTGGAGCTGTAGTTTCGAATTTATGATATTAATGGTGGAAAAAATATATTTGTGTTGCAATAGTCATCTTTATTATGGTAAACTGCGCAGTTTTCCAATATATTTTTTAAAGGTATTTTTACAAACAATTTTATAAATTCTATTCAACATATTCTTCAAAATAACTGTATCTAGTGAAAATATTCGAATAAATGATGTTTATTACATTTTATACATATTATATATATATGTATTCGACGTTTACAACTTTTTGCCAGTCGTAAACCTACAAATTCATCACACAGACCATCCCTGCCGAGGCCACACTTTCGAAACGATGCGCCTTTAATTAAGAATGTCGGGTATTAAGAGGAATAAAGACCTCCTGAAAAAATGTTATTGTATGACCTGGGTTTAGCCTCAGACTTATGACTAATGGGGGTATATACACTTTGCTACGGCAAAAATGTGTCTCATCCAAAATATTGATTTAGACCCCATTTTTCTTTTGACCAAATTTGTGTCAGACAATTTTGAGTCGATTTATTTATTTTGAAATTGTATTTATTTCACAAGAAATATGCGATTATATGACTTTCATATGACTCCACTTTCATTTAAATACTAGCAATACAAAAAAAGTTATAGCAAAAATAAATGAGTTATGCAATTTGTATAAACCCCGTCATCAGCGCCATCTATTGATAGATATGATCCAAATCATGCAAATATGTTTTTTTAGGTTCAAACTTCCAAACGTATAACTTGTGAACAGATTATCGCATTTCAGCAAAAATGGTGTCATATGAGGGAGTAAATAATCTACTTTACTATGACCAGCAAACAATTTTTTTATAAAACAAATATTATCGAGAAATTTTTAATACTACATTTAATAATCAAAAATTTGAAAAATAAAATTTTTATTACTTTACAAGAAGTAATAAAATTGTACCTTTCATATGACACACATTTTTTTAAATATCTATAGTAGGTCAAATGTTATTGGAAACAAAAATGAGAATTAAATTTTGCATAATCGATTTTTGAATATACCCATTCCATAGATGGCGCTGACGACAAGTGTTAGCCAGTGCTGCCAAATTCATCGGCATTTTAGATTGTTTATAACTTTCGAATGCATAATGATACAGACAAAATTCGAACGAATATTAATAGTTTGGAACATACACTATTCGACAGTATTAAGTATAAAATGTAGTATTTTCAATACTACACTTCATATTGTCAGCGCCATCTTTTGATGGGCATGGTTCAAATTGTGCATATCTGATTTACAGTTTATCG